TGATAAGGTAAATTCTTTCCCTCGCCCCCCCCCCCCACAGATTTCCAGAAGCTCCGAATGCATTTCCACTTAAAATGTAAAATGTTTAAATAGCTTCTAATCGCACAAACCCCATCGTGCAACTGTTATAATAGGTGCTCGCTAACAATTGCGCTCGCTTCTGCCAAGTCGGCATCGCCTGTTCGCGTGACACCGTGTCCCAGTGTGCTTGACGTTAACTCGTCCCACGCGAGTTTAAATGCTTAATTTAATTTGAGGGTAAACAAAGAGGGCTGGCGCAGGGATTTAGGGAATGAGGCCATGGATTTTGTCCTGGTTACGTGGTCGTCTTTATCATTATCATCATCATAATCATTATCGTCATCATTATTGTCATAATCATCATCATAATCAACAATATAATCATCAATATCGTCATCATTATCGTCATCATCATAATCATCATCATCGTCATCATCATCATCGTCATCATCATTATCGTCATTATCGTCATCATCGTCATCATCATCATTATCGTCATTATCGTCATTATCGTCATCATCAAAATCATCATCATCGTCATCATCATCGTCATCATCATCATCATTATCGTCATCATCATGATCATCATTATCTTCATCATCATCATTATCGTCATCATTATCGTCATCATCATTATCGTCATCATCATCATTATCGTCATCATCATCATCGTCATCATTATCGTCATCATCATTATCGTCATCATCATTATCATCATCATCGTCATCATCATCATTATCGTCATCATCATTATCATCATCATCGTCATCATCATCATTATCATCATTATCGCCATAATCATAATCATCGTCGTGGTGGTGGTGGTGAGGGTCCATGAAGAGTCTAATCGAAGTGGTCTGCTGGCCTGTGCTGGTCTCTCTCGAGTAGCGACTGCAGCACGGGGCTCCCACGTGTTTCCTCCCCTAAGAAGACTTCGTCATACTGTGAACTACAGCGTTGAACAATAAGAAATTATTAAATAATAATCAATTACTTTTTATTTTGCCAAGCCAAAACACGATGAGGAAATAATTCTAGATTTGAAGCGTTCGTGACTCCAAGGATTCATATTCTTAGGTGTTTTCAGTAAAGTCACGTAGGTAAAACATTAAAATTAATAAAAGATGAGAAAATAATGAATCTTACCACACCCGTCAATAACACTGGGGCCTTGAAATAAAAAAGATACGTAATAATCGACGTTTCGGGCAATAGCCCACCATCGTAGTGAGGCTCGTGTTACCGGATAATGAGCTCGGTGTACTAATTTGATCCCATGAAGGTAATTTGTCCGCAACGCTGCATATTCATTTCCTTTTAAGACCACGCAGCGATGTCAGCTGCAGCAGTACCATCAAATACTTAGACCAAAACCCTCGTGATCATAATAATAATAACAACACTTCGTAGCCCCTTCGATCAATCTACTTACGGATGAAGGCCGTCCCTTCATTATGTGAGCAGTTTAATGACCGTACTTCACCACGCCGGTCAGTGCGGATTGGTGAAGGAGTGGGGCGAGTGTCCGTAAACGGTTATGGATGTCACGGCCCGCTGATGTGAGCCGTCGCTGGGAATTCAACTCCCTAACTCGGCTCACCAGACCGTGAGCTCAGTGCACTCATCACTGCATGACCGCCTCCGCCTCCCAACATACAAAACCGGTTGAGAAGTAAAATGATGCGGCGATGCTGCCGCTGCTGTGTTGGTAGTTGGCGCTCACTGACGGCTCACAGCCAACTCAACTCACGCATCGATCCACGAACACTCGGCGGTTGGGAATCGAACTCAGGTGTGCCAGGTTCTTCACGGAGTGGAACTCCCCTCTGCGTTGTGATGTTAGCAGTGGCAGGGAATCGATCTCAGGTGTGCCAGGTTCTTCACGGAGTGGAACTCGCTCTGCGTTGTGATGTTAGCAGTGGCAGGGAATAGAACTCAGGTGTGCCAGGTTCTTCACGGAGTGGAACTCCCCTCTGCGTTGTGATGTTAGCAGTGGCAGGGAATCGAACTCAGATGTGCCAGGTTCTTCACGGAGTGTAGCTCCCTCTGTGTTGTGATGTTAGCAGTGGCAGGGAATCGATCTCAGGTGTGCCAGGTTCTTCACGGAGTGGAACTCCCCTCTGTGTTGTGATGTTAGCAGTGGCAGGGAATCGAACTCAGATGTGCCAGGTTCTTCACAGAGTGGAACTCCCCTCTGCGTTGTGATGTTAGCAGTGGCAGGGAATCGAACTCAGGTGTGCCAGGTTCTTCACTGTGTAGAACTCCCTCTGTGTTGTGATGTTAGCAGTGGCAGGGAATCGAACTCAGGTATGCCAGGTTCTTCACGGAGTGGAACTCACTCTGTGTTGTGATGTTAGCAGTGGCAGGGAATCAAACTCAGGTGTGCCAGGTTCTTCACTGTGTGTAACTCCCTCTGTGTTGTGATGTTAGCAGTGGCAGGGAATCGATCTCAGGTGTGCCAGGTTCTTCACGGAGTGGAACTCACTCTGCGTTGTGATGTTAGCAGTGGCAGGGAATCGATCTCAGGTGTGCCAGGTTCTTCACGGAGTGGAACTCCCTCTGTGTTGTGATGTTAGCAGTGGCAGGGAATCGATCTCAGGTGTGCCAGGTTCTTCACGGAGTGGAACTCCCTCTGTGTTGTGATGTTAGCGGTGGCAGGGAATCGAACTCAGGTGTGCCAGGTTCTTCACGGAGTGGAACTCCCCTCTGTGTTGTGATGTTAGCGGTGGCAGGGAATCGATCTCAGGTGTGACAGGTTCTTCACGGAGTGGAACTCCCTCTGCGTTGTGATGTTAGCAGTGGCAGGGTATCGAACTCAGGTGTGTCAGGTTCTTCACGGAGTGGAACTCCCCTCTGTGTTGTGATGTTAGCGGTGGCAGGGAATCGATCTCAGGTGTGCCAGGTTTTTCACGGAGTGGAACTCCCTCTGCGTTGTGATGTTAGCAGTGGCAGGGTATCGAACTCAGGTGTGTCAGGTTCTTCACGGAGTGGAACTCCCCTCTGTGTTGTGATGTTAGCAGTGGCAGGGAATCAAACTCAGGTGTGCCAGGTTCTTCACGGAGTGGAACTCCCTCTGAGTTGTGATGTTAGCAGTGGCAGGGAATCAAACTCAGGTGTGCCAGGTTCTTCACGGAGTGTAACTCCCTCTGTGTTGTGATGTTAGCAGTGGCAGGGAATCGATCTCAGGTGTGCCAGGTTCTTCACTGTGTGGAACTCCCTCTGTGTTGTGATGTTAGCAGTGGCAGGGAATCGATCTCAGGTGTGCCAGGTTCTTCACGGAGTGGAACTCCCTCTGTGTTGTGATGTTAGCAGTGGCAGGGAATCGATCTCAGGTGTGCCAGGTTCTTCACGGAGTGGAACTCCCTCTGTGTTGTGATGTTAGCAGTGGCAGGGAATCGAACTCAGGTGTGCCAGGTTCTTCACGGAGTGGAACTCCCCTCTGTGTTGTGATGTTAGCGGTGGCAGGGAATCGATCTCAGGTGTGCCAGGTTCTTCACGGAGTGGAACTCCCTCTGCGTTGTGATGTTAGCAGTGGCAGGGAATCGAACTCAGGTGTGTCAGGTTCTTCACGGAGTGGAACTCCCCTCTGTGTTGTGATGTTAGCAGTGGCAGGGAATCAAACTCAGGTGTGCCAGGTTCTTCACGGAGTGGAACTCACTCTGTGTTGTGATGTTAGCAGTGGCAGGGAATCGATCTCAGGTGTGCCAGGTTCTTCACGGAGTGGAACTCCCTCTGTGTTGTGATGTTAGCAGTGGCAGGGAATCGATCTCAGGTGTGCCAGGTTCTTCACGGAGTGGAACTCCCCTCTGTGTTGTGATGTTAGCAGTGGCAGGGAATCAAACTCAGGTGTGCCAGGTTCTTCACGGAGTGGAACTCCCTCTGCGTTGTGATGTTAGCAGTGGCAGGGAATCAAACTCAGGTGTGCCAGGTTCTTCACGGAGTGGAACTCACTCTGTGTTGTGATGTTAGCAGTCGCAGGGAATCGATCTCAGGTGTGCCAGGTTCTTCACGGAGTGGAACTCCCTCTGTTTTGTGATGTTAGCAGTGGCAGGGAATCGAACTCAGGTGTGCCAGGGTCTTCACGGTGTGGAACTCCTTCTGTGTTGTGATGTTAGCAGTGGCAGGGAATCGAAATCAGGTGTGCCAGGGTCTTCACGGTGTGGAACTCCCTCTGTGTTGTGATGTTAGCAGTGGCAGGGAATCGATCTCAGGTGTGCCAGGTTCTTCAGGGAGTGGAACTCCCTCTTTGTTGTGATGTTAGCGGTGGTTGGGAATCGAACTCAGCTGTTCGGATTCGCAGTGCGTTAACCACTGCACAATCGTCCCCCTCACCTCCCCCCTTTGCGCCCCCCCCCCCCCAACTCCTTACCCTCACACCACCCATGCCCCGCCCCCCCCCCTCCCCAAATATTAAATATAGAGGTCGAAAATTCGGAATGCTTTACACTTTGGTTGGATTAGCAGCTAAGGGTTCACAAGTAAATAACAGCGGGAAATATAGCGCCGGTCAGAGGTTAATAAATCACTTTGTTCCACGTTATATACGATGCACAAGAACACACACTGCAAATGCACACACACACATACAGAGACAAAGATCACCCGTATAGCCTTAGCAGACTGTAGGAGCAAGTGCTGTTAGGGAACTACCATCAGCCAGCCGGGTTGCTCACTATCAGAGGAGAGCGGCTCTTAATCGGAAGGCCTCGAGTTCAACTCCTGCTTGGGTTTATTGACTCGTCCCATCATCACTCCCGGGGTCGATAAATCGAGCACCACTTGGTGGCAGTTTGCGGGGAAATCAACGGCGGTTGTCCTGTGGGTCGACTCACCCCTCCCACCTCGGCCAGCGCCATAGGAATGTGGAATTACCACCACTGGCTCAGGGCTGGAGACGACAGATGAGCATCCGATGCTCATTTTGATCGCACGACATTCGCGTCGTCGAGCCACACAGCTTCTCTCTGTGTCCTTCGCAGCCACGGGGCGAGCGCGGCTGGCGATGGAGACTAGCAGCGGAGCGAGCCTGACCCAACCCAGAGGCCGTCGCCTCCTCGTCGTCCTCCTCCTGCCAGGAGCGACCTCCACCCAGCGCCGCTGACACCCGCGTCGTCCTTAACCCACCACCACACTCCACGGGTTCGACTCCACCACTCTCTTCGCCCTCGCATGGCTACGCTTTGGACGCACATCCGCGCGTGGAACAGGAGGCGCGCCTCGCTGGGGTGGCAGCAGCGGCAGCAGCCCCAACTCGCGCTGCTGTGCGTCTCTCACTGCCTGCTGCTGCTGCTGCTGATGATGATGGTGATGCTGGTGCTCGGGACACCGTCGAGTCAAAGCCACGCCGCAGACGCCGCAGCTGCCCCCGTCACCGCTGTGAAGGTCGTGGCCGGGAAAATGTTCACGCTGAGGAATTGCCCCGGAGCAGAGACCGGAGCGACGGCATCTCCCTCGCCTGTGTGCCGTGCGGTAAGGGCGGGGCCCGGCGGGGGGGGGTATTTGTGTGTGTGTGTTGAGCTTCTTCTTGGTTCTTTCGGTAAAGTCACGTAGAATGGAAATAATACAATAATTAAAATAAAAGATAATAAAATAATTCTTACGACGTTTTGGCCACAACACAAGCAGCCGTCCTCAGGTGAAGAACAGGTCTTTCAAGAGACAGAGTCTGAATGTTTTCTCGACAGACCTGTTCTTCACCTGTCTGTCGAGAAGACAGAGTCTGAATGTCTTCTCGACAGACCTGTTCTTCACCTGAGGACGGCTCCTTGCGTTGTGGCCGAAACGTCGTGAGAATTATTTTATTATGTTTTATTTTTATTATTTTATTATTTCCCTTCTACGTGACTTTACCGAAAGAACCAAGAAGATGAATCCCTGCAGTCACGAAAGCTTTAAATCGAAATGTGTTGAGCTTCTTTCGCACCGTACGTAGCCGACCGTGCTTGTCGGAGGTGCGGGGGAAAGGCAACAAACGATGTATGTTGAACCTCCTTCGCACCGTACGTAGCCAACCGTGATAATCGGAGGTGCGGGAGTGAGTGAGATGCTGGGTGGGTGGACGAGTGAGGTTCTGAATGGGTAAGCAAGCTGCTGGGGTGGGTGGGTGAGTGGTTGAGCGAGTGTGTTGCTGTGTTCGGTGAGCTGCTGGGAGCAAGAATGAGCTGATTTGTGAGTGGGGGATTGGTTTGGTAGGTGGGTTTCTGAGTGTGTTTTTGAGCTGGTGAGTGAGTGCATTGATGGGCGAGTGAGCTGGTGGGTGATTGAGTTTCTAGACGAGTGAGTTGTGGGTGAGTGAGCTGGTGGGTGATTGAGTTTCTAGATGAGTGAGTTGGTGGGTGATTGAGTTTGTAGATGAGTGAGTTGGTGGTGAGTGAGCTGGTGGGTGATTGAGTTTCTAGATGAGTGAGTTGGTGGGTGATTGAGTTTCTAGATGAGTGAGTTGGTGGGTGAGTGAGCTGGTGGGTGATTGAGTTTCTAGATGAGTGAGCTGGTGGGTGAGTGAGCTGGTGGGTGATTGAGTTTCTATATGAGTGAGTTTGTGGGTGAGTGAGCTGGTGGGTGATTGAGTTTCTAAATGAGTGAGTTGGTGGGTGAGTGAGCTGGTGGGTGATTGAGTTTCTAGTTGAGTGAGTTGGTGGGTGAGCGAGCTGGTGGGTGATTGAGTTTCTAGATGAGTGAGTTGGTGGGTGATTGAGTTTCTAGATGAGTGAGTTGGTGGTGAGTGAGCTGGTGGGTGATTGAGTTTCTAGATGAGTGAGTTGGTGGGTGATTGAGTTTCTAGATGAGTGAGTTGGTGGGTGAGTGAGCTGGTGGGTGATTGAGTTTCTAGATGAGTGAGCTGGTGGGTGAGTGAGCTGGTGGGTGATTGAGTTTCTATATGAGTGAGTTTGTGGGTGAGTGAGCTGGTGGGTGATTGAGTTTCTAAATGAGTGAGTTGGTGGGTGAGTGAGCTGGTGGGTGATTGAGTTTCTAGTTGAGTGAGTTGGTGGGTGAGCGAGCTGGTGGGTGATTGAGTTTCTAGATGAGTGAGTTGGTGGGTGAGGGAGCTGGTGGGTGATTGAGTTTCTAGCTGAGTGAGTTGGTGGATGAGAGAGCTGGTGGGTGATTGCGTTTCTAGATGAGTGAGCTGGTGGGTGAGTGAGCTGGTGGGTGATTGAGTTTCTAGATGAGTGAGCTGGTGGGTGAGTGAGGTGGTGGGTGATTGAGTTTCTAGATGAGTGAGTTGGTGGGTGAGGGAGCTGGTGGATGATTGAGTTTTCTAGACGAGTGAGTTGGTGGGTGAGTGAGCTGGTGGGTGATTGAGTTTCTAGATGAGTGAGTTGGTGGGTGAGTGAGCTGGTGGGTGATTGAATTTCTAGATGAGTGAGCTGGTGGGTGAGTAAGCTGGTGGGTGATTGAGTTTCTAGATGAGTGAATTGGTGGGTGAGTCAGCTGGTGGGTGATTGAGTTTCTAGATGAGTGAGTTGGTGGGTGAGTGAGCTGGTGGGTGATTGAGTTTAAAGGTGAGTGAGCTGGTGGGTGAGTGAGCTGGTGGGTGATTGAGTTTCTAGATGAGTGAGTTGGTGGGTGAGTGAGCTGGTTGGTGATTGAATTTCTAGATGAGTGAGCTGGTGGGTGAGTGAGCCTGTGGGTGATTGAGTTTCTAGATGAGTGAATTGGTGGGTGAGTGAGCTGTGGGTGATTGAGTTTCTAGATGAGTGAGTTGGTGGGTGAGTGAGCTGGTGGGTGATTGAGTTTCAAGGTGAGTGAGCTGGTGGGTGAGTGAGCTGGTGGGTGATTGAGTTTCCAGATGAGTGAGTTGGTGGGTGAGCGAGCTGGCGGGGTCGGCAAAGTGGTGAGAAGTTGTGAGCATTCTCATGCTCCTGTTTAGAGTGTTCTCCCCCCCCCCCCCCCCCCCCACTTGATAGTTTTCACCCACGCGATCAGAATTGGACGTTTATCAATTCAGCGTTTGTTGAACACAGTTAAAGTCACATCTGGTGCGAGCAAAGATTGAGAGATAAAAATAAATTTAAAAAAAACCACAACATCTCAAATCAGAAACTGAATCTCAGCAACACAGCTGGAGTCAAAACACGCGCTGTCTTATTACCCCCAGAGTTACATACAGAGACACGATCACACACATGCACATAAGCTAACACAGCAAAGTGCACGAACATCCATAGGCACACACACACACACATCCACAAAGGCAAAGATCCCCCGAATAGCTGTCACAGACTGTTGGGGCAAGTGCTGCTCGGCACAGCACGCAAAGGGTGGACGGCCATCATCTCGCCTGGCCGCCTTTGTCTCCCCATTACTGATGTTTACTCGTAGCACCTGGAACTCATTTAAGGCTGAGTCAACCTAGGGGGGGCTCAAGACCAGTTCAAATATTTGCCACTGGACAGACCCCGGTGTTCTGAGTTTATTGACCGTGATGACCGCAACCTTGCATCGCCACCCACGCACGCATACGCGCACTGAAATAAAAACACCCAAAGCCAAAGATCCCCTGTATAGCCTTTGACAGATTGTTGGGGCAAGTGCTGTAAGCGAGCACCTATGAAGGCTGGAACGGCACACAAGTTGGTGGGTGTCCAGCACCACCTCCGGCCGCCTTTGTCTCCCCAGTGACGATGTTAACACACCACACCGGGTACTCGTTTCAAGCTGAGTCGACCCAGGGTAGACCCAGGACTGGTTCAGATAGCCGTCACCGGTGTTGACCGTGAGCGAAATCAGAAATATTTGTTCATACCGATGTCCAGCAGGGGCGGGTTCTTAGCGCCGCACGCTAACCGCTGCGCCACCGCCACTGGTCCAACACCAATGGACACTAGGCTCTAAGGAAAGCTGTCTCGGGTGTGGACTAATCAACTTCAAGGGCAGTGCATATCATTACCATTATCAGAGTTGTTTCATTTTGTTTGCATTTTGACTGCTTGTGTTGCGGTTATTGCAAACATGATGCCTTGTATAAAGGTGTCAGTTTTGTACCAGTTAAAAGGGTAAAAACTACTACTATATTTTGCCACTGGTAAGGAGATGTCTCATAGTGTATGCGGGGACTGAGCGCACACCGTAGCCATCATCGCCCCACCACCGCTGCGGAACAAATGTACCACCCCACGTCACTCTTGCAAAATGATACGAGAGTATGCACGGTCTCTGGAGTTTCACCTTGGTTAAACCAAGGGGGTACGCACACTCAAACTTGAAGTACGGTACACAGAGGGGAGCTCGAAATCTCTGAGAGCAGGTGGTGAATGAAATGACGACAGCCCACCGAGGACATGCCACTGGGACGTGACATCTTACGAACAAAAGGACACCTCGATGCAATTAAACTGAACAATTATTTTCCTGTTGTTTTTTTCTTATTTTCACCAACTAATGCTACCGAGTTTAACACGTGTAGGCTTTCGCCACACAATATTATTCATAATAAACGTTTTTGGGTTTTTATATCGCGTTATTTATAAATGTGTCGTAACCCTCCACCACCCGACACGGCCAATCAGTAAAAGAGTGTCACGTTGACAAAAGACAAATAGTTCACTGCTTTAGCCCACCGGAATGTTGAAGCCAGAATTGCCCGATGATGCTGGATGAATTACCAGCGAAACGTCGTACTCAAATTGTAAATGTTGTGGTTTCACTCTTCAACACACCGGTGGGCTAAAGCAGCGAACTATTTGTCTTTTGTCAACGTGACACTTTTTTACTGATTGGCCGTGTCGGGTGGTGGAGGGTTACGACACATTTATAAATAACGCGATCCTAAACCCAAAAAACGTTGATTATGAATAATGCTACCGAGTGAGCTCTCTGTATATGTGGCTCTTTTGCCAGAAGCGATCTGGCAAATCGCAAATACATAGCTCGACAAAGCGGATAAGGGGCCGTCCATAAATGACGTCACACACCTAGGGGGGGTGGGGGTCAGACATTTGTGACGATGTGTGACGAGGGGGGGGGGGGTGTTGAGAAATGTGACGTCACGTAAATTGCGCAAAATGAGATAAATACAGACAACACGTTCTACTTAATTAAATAGACTTTTCAATAACTGTTTTCTTCTACAACATCAGAGTGCAGCGCCACATTAAATACGCACTACAATGACAATTGTTTAAAGCGATTTGAAGCATG